GAGAAAAGTGACACACAAGGACTTTGGAAGCTATTATACTCTCTGTTGGAATACATGTGTACGATCTGTCATTAACAAACAAAGCATGAGAAAGAAGTCATGGGCAAAAGCTGAAGAACACGAGAGGAAAAACAAAAAAATCCTCCAGAATCAATGTTTCCTTCATGAGACGCCATAATCATGTTTTCTCAGCAGGAAAGACGTTTCTCAGCATTTCCATACTAATGCAACAACACTATCGCAAAAATTAATTTCTGCTAACAGAAAGCATCGAATTAACGTTTAACCGCTCACCAGCATAGGCCCAATCATTTCAGGAGGCTCTACATAGCGTCTTGGTCTAGGCCGGTAGGTCGATCTTCCTCGCCAACTCATATTTCACACTGAAAACAGACAACCGTGATTGGGAACATGCGCTCCAGAGGGCTGCTATATTCGATCACTTCCATGGATCAATGTTAACTTGTCGTTTTAATTTTGAAAATACTCTCAAAATAAGTCCCAAAGTTAAGCATACGTGTGTACGTTTTCTAAGTGCCTACAAAACCATTTATGCTGGCCAAGCTGGCAGAGCAGGCATCTTAAGGCGTGTGGCAAGAGGCAGAGGACTTTTTTTTCTAAATTTCTTTCGGACGCGGGGTCTCACTGTGGTGCTCAGGCTGGAGTGCAGCGGCGCGATCACAGCTCACTGCAGCCTCCACCTCCTGCTCAAGGGATCCTCCCGCCTCTGTGTCCCGAGTAATTCGGACTATAGGCGAGCACCACTGTGCCCCGCAGATAGAGATCATTTCTGATGAGGTTTAGTTTCACAAGCAGACTCCTCACGAAAACACTAGTGAATCACAATTCCCTTGATGGCTGCTTTGGGCCACTCCCGCTTCCTAGAGCCATTCACCCCCTCTCACATCAAGTTTGGTTGCACCGCACTGCCTCGCCCACTCCTTCCCACTTTTCCCGGACTTTCCATGGCGGAGGTGAGACTTTGCAGTGCTTGTCACTCGGGCGCCCCGCACTCCACACCCCTGGGGGGCGCTCACCAGGCTGCAGCCTTCCCAGGTGCCAGGTCCCTTCTTTACCACCTGCCTCGCCCCCACCGGGCACCCCATTCAGGCATCTGCCCTGTGTTGTCAGGGATTCTCGGCACCTCGGGACTTCCATCCCCCAAACAGCACTCACCCCATCTTCACCTAAGCCCCTGACTGCCTTCCCTCCCGGCCCACCTTCCTCCCTGTCCAGGCCCTCTCAGGACTACAAAGTCGATGGTGGCCTAGCAGCCTGAGAAGAGAAGGAGGACGACCTCGAGGCCCTCCTCCCTCAGAGGCCACAGACCAGGAAGTGGGATCCACTGGACCCACCCGAGGCCCTCTTCACCCTCACTCACACTTCAGCCCCCGGGATGACTGGCCTGCAGACCTACCAGACGAATCTCAGTAAGGGAAAAAGAGTCCGGACGGCAGGAACGAGACCCCACAGCCTCACAGCTTCCTGGCGTTCTTCACGTGGGCTAAGGGGCCGGGCGGAAGACGCCCAGTGAACATGTGCACTGAGAAGGGAACCCAGAGAGCATGCGCGGCTGTGGGCCTGGGCGGGCTGCCGTTCCCAGCCCAATGCCCCAACCCCCCCCAATTCCCATCCACACTGAGGATAATGGAATCCAACCTCCCTTTGCTGTTTTCTATGCTTCTGGGACT